CTCAGTCGGCCGCTGGCGGGCCACAACAAGAACCTCAAAACTGGCCAACTTTGTACAACGTCACCCTTAAAATCCACCAGCATAAACAACTGCATTCACTTAGATCATTAGGGGTCCCCGGTCCATGGGCGTTATTTTTACTGACCATGGCATACCAGCAACTGGGCCATGCAAACAACCGATGCCCCATCTGTGGGATGCAAGTAGCATGCAAAACCATGTCCCCTCTGGTCCATGGAAAAACCTTTCTCCGTGGAACTGGTCCCTGGTGCCCAAAAGATCGGGGCTCGCTGACTTAGATGATGTCACAGCATGATCAGCTACAGCAAGGCAGTAAAAATAATGTCCAGGTTCTGAGTTAAGAAAAGGTTGCTCACGACTTGTGGTGACCCAGGACTTGGCACAAAGGCAACACAGTCAGATAATCAGTAGGAGTTCCTTTATTAGCTCCAACTTTGCCCCCAATGTCCTGGTTACCTTCTGGCTGGAGAAAAACTCTCCCAGGAACAGCCTTTGGCTGCAGAGAATCAAGTCCAAAACATGGTCAACAAAAACTGTAACTATAAGTCCAATCAAGGCAAAATGAGGCAATTAGTCCAGCAGGGCAGGAGCAAGAATTCCAGAAGGCATGGCAATAACTTAAGACATCAAGAACAGATAACCAAAGTCAACACAAGATAAACTCACATTTGCTCCTAGCAGCTGCTGCACTCGGCATGCATTTCTTTTAAACTCTTTTCCCAGCTGTGGCTAATGAAGGCAATCAGGGCCCTTTTCTCCCCCATAAGCCACACAACCCACGTTGCTCCCTTCTCCATTCCTCCCTGCGTGCCCTAGAATGAAGAGGGGGTGGGCCTGGGTCTTCCTCTGAACTCCCTCTCCCTTGTTCTTCCTCTTCCCTGCTCTGCCCAGTCGGACTCTGCTGTTCCCCAGTTTCCCCCACAGCCAATGGAGCCACACTCCCACTCCCTGTCAGCTGTTAGTCTTCCTCCTCGGATTCAGACTCCGACAGGGGCATGACACTACTCATCTGATATATGAACAGTTTAAGTATGGCTAGTCATTTTCTTAAGTATTCTGATCCATGCAGCTAATGGCCAAGTGAGGAATAACAAAAGTCTGTTTCTTTTCATGTACATCTCAAGGCCTAGGCCTCTCCAGCTTTGAATCCAATTATGCATATTTCTGTATAACGCAAACCTTTTGCAAACATTGATAAATTACTTCTGTTCAGTTCCTGGCTACATCTTTTATCAGTCTGAGAACAAGGGATCATAGCAATTAATTCTACAGATAAGTAACTCTAATAACAAAAAAATACAACATTATTAATTTTACAAGAAACATATGACACTGAATAAACACTTAAGACCAAATTAGGCAAATGTTGAATAATACATAGAAACCACTTGCAAAATGTTGCTAATGTAGGATATATATTATCCATTTCTAATCTAATGCTGCTCAGCTGTTAGAATAGAACTGGAAGGGACCTTAGAGATCGTCTAGTCCAGCCCCCTGCCCAAGCAGGAGAACTCATACTGTTTCAGATAAGTGGCTATCTAGTTTCTTCTTAAAGATCTCCAGTGATGGTACACCCATGATTTCTTGAGGCAAGCTATTCCACTGGTTAATTGTCCTCACTGTTAAGGAAGTTTCTCCTTAATTCCAGGTTTCTTCTGTGTTACCTCACAGTTCCCTCCTCCTTTATTAGAGCCAACCTCATTAGACAGACCAGACCAAGAAATCAGTGCCACATAGGTCTAAAATTACAGGTAGCCCTCAATTTATGACTACAGTTAAGCTCAAAATCTATGTTGTTAAGTGAGGAATTTGTTGAGTTTTCTCCACTTTATGATTTTTCTCACCTCATTTGTTAAATGAATCAGTGCTGGATGCTTCTGTTCTAAAATCCTGAAAACCTCTGAATAATAGCAAAGCATGCCTTCAACTGTTACATCTTATTAATGTAATATATTTACATATTTAAAAAAAAAATAATCCTCACCAGTTAACTAGTGATGCACATAATTAAGATCTGTGGGTTTGGTGAATCCTGCCAAGCAACAGATGGGAAACTGGCCTTGGCAAATTAATCACACCTTTCATTGGTTTAGGAGTTAACTCTTCATATTTTTGTGGGAATTTAAAGATCTCCCTACTGCTTATAATAAGCAAGTTGAAAAAAAAAAAGTCAGGAAACTTTTAATTCCTCACTGAAACTTCTTTGTTCTTTGTTCGTGCATCCTGTGCTACTGACGATTTCAAAACAAGATCTTCCTAATGGCATTTGAAATGGGAAATTTTAAACTACAGTAAGTTATTTTAGCTAAACAGGAAATGGCCTTCCTGTTCTGACCTTTGAGAAGTCATCGAGCTAACCTTCTGAGTCTCTTCACGGTTTTTCCTATCTTTTTATATTCATAACTTAGCTCAATACCCGTGCTTTGCTGGGAAACTACGTCATGGGGCTTAGTTTTTTGGGAGGAAAATAACAGGGGAAAAATCTGCCTGTGCCTACCAGCATCCAATGGCATTCATCTGGCTAGCATCCTGTCAGTATGCGAGGCTGTTTGGAAACTGTATCTGCTGTGTGAGCAAGGAGACAGCAAGGAGCCTGGGTGTGGCTTAGCTCAAATGTTTTGTACTAAAGCTGCTTGGTGCTGTGAAACTAAAACTGAAACTCCTCTCCTCTGCTTGTGTTTTGCATTTGGGAGAGATTTCTTTTCAGGTGGGGAGGGGGAGTATCTCCTTAGCATCAGAGCGTGTTAATAATAATAGGAAATACAAATGCTGTTACGGTCATTTGAAAAATCCTTTCTTAGTGAGCATCTAGAAGCCAAGAGGAACATGTGCCAAATTTCAAGTTTGTAGACTTTACGGTTCTGGAGATTTTGCGATGATGCATGAGTAGTATTTCACTTTTATATAGATAGAAGAAGATAGGAGATTTTTCCTTCGCTAGATTATTACGTTTTATGGCTTTTAAGTTCTAATTTGGATCCTTACCGAGATTTCATGCATAGAAAAAGAATCATCATCATTTTAGCCATTGTCTGTCCACTACATGACAAAGACCTCTTCTGCATGTTTCCAACCAATATGCTCCTGAGTTTTCTTTTGCCAGTTGGGTCCACAATACTTGCTGATGTTATAGATCCATCTTGATATAGGTCTCTTTCATGGATGCTTTTTATCCAATGGGATCCATTCTACGACTGCCTTGGTCCACCTGCCATCGGTTCTTCTTGAGATGTGACCAGGCCATTTCCATTTCAATTCTTTTACTCTTTCGACGGCATCCTTTATTTTCCTTTGTTTTGTAATCAATGTGCAGGTCTTTCTATTTTGTCTTGTGATGCAGAGCATGTATCTTTGTGTGGCTCTTTGAGGCCACACTCATAGCTTTTGTATTGATTGTAAGCAGAGAAGTAGGCATTCAGCAGGTTCTGACCAGTTCTGGAGAATTGGTACCACCATACCACACCCACAGAACCAATGGTAAAAATTGTTGAATCCCACCACTGATTGTAAGGTTAGTGTCCATGTTTTGCTGGCATATATCAGAAGAGCAAAAGAATAAGAACTACAAAAATAATCCATCTATTATTTATTATTATAAATCTATTATATACAGTATATATGCCAGTGGTGCGATTCGAAATTTTTTACTACCAGTTCTGTGGGCGTGGCTTGATGGGCATGGCAGGGGAAGGTTACTGCAAAATCCTATTCCCACCTCGCTAACCTACTTTCCAGCTCCATTCTCCTGTGCAGGGCAACAAAAGAAGACCGAGCCGATCAGCTGGGACTCGGAAGGCAGAGAATAGATGGGGGCGGGAGCCATTCAGAGGTGGTATTTGCCGGTTCTCCGAACTACTCAAAATTTCCACTATCAGTTCTCCAGAACTGGTCAGAACCTGCTGAATACCACCTCTGGTCATAAGTCACCTTTTTCAGTGCTATTGTAACTTCAAACCATCACTAAGTGAACCATTATCAGTCAAGGACTACCTGTATATAGCATGAGAACTTTTACACCCCCGCTCCCTTTAGCGGTAGGAAAAGTGGAGTTCCCAATTTTTTTCAAGCCAGAGGTCTGCACCCACAGCCAGAAGTGTGAAAAATGGTCATAATTTACTTTTTCAGTGCCATTTCAGGTCTCTAAGTGAACTGTTTGTTGTAAGTCAAAGACTACATGTATATGAGAGTTGTTGTTGTTGTTGTTGTTGTTGTTATTATTATTATTATTATTATTATTATTATTATTATTATTATTATTATTATTATTATTATTATCACGGTCAGCCAGATGTTCAGGCTGGGTTTGGCATTTTCTGGATGTTTGATGGTGTTACAGATATCGGTGCATTATATTATGATTATGATTATGTATTATTATGTATGATTATTATTATTATGTATGATTATGATTAAGTTTATGATGATGATGATGATTTTTATTATTATCATTATTATTATTATTCCCTCCGGAAAGCCTTGGGAAAAGCAGAGTCCCCAATTCTATATCAAGTTACAATAGGAATAGAGCTGGAAGGGGCCTTGGAGGTCTTCTAGTCCAGCCCTGCTCAAGCAGGAGACCCTATCCTATACCATCTCAGATAAGCGGCCGTGTCTGGTCAAGCCCGAGGTCTGCGCGCCCCTCACCCCCTCCTCTTTCCCCAGCGCTGGCTCCTCGCCCAGCCTCTTCCAAGCAGAGTTGTGTTATATCCAGGAAGCGACGTTTCTCGGCCCGAGCGAATCGTCTTCTCTCCGTAAAGGCCGGGGGTCGGTCAGACGGCTCGTTGGCTCGCTGGCTCCGGGTGGGCGCCGCACGTGCTCCGGCTGGCTGCCATTCGCCGCTGGAGGAACCCGCTGCCAGCCGACGTGAGGGCTTCCCTCAGCAGCTGCGCCTTATCCTAACGGGTGGCTTTTTTTTTTTTTCTTGCATAGGTTTCTCCCGCGCGTTCTACCCTCGCAACCCCTCTCCGTCCTAGCTGCCCTGCGATCATGGCCGGGGGCTTCCTGTGGATCTCGGCCGCCGTGCTAGCCTACTGCGCGGCCGGCGGCACCCGAGCGCTGGAGCTGGGCGACTCTTCGCCGCGCCTGGCCGAGATCACCGCGCCGAGCCTGGCCGCCGCCGCCTCCTCCTCCTGGCCGAGCGCGGCTCCCGTGGCAGCCGAGGTGGAGGAAGGCTTCGGCGGTTCCAACGCTTCTCGCCCGGGATCGCCTGGCGGAGCCGGCCGAGCGCCTCCGCCCGCTTACCCGATGTGCACCGGCCGGACGGAGATCAAGAAGACGTTCAAATACATCAACACGGTGATCGCTTGCCTGGTCTTCGTGCTGGGCATCATCGGCAACTCCACCTTGCTCCGGATCATCTACAAGAACAAATGCATGAGGAACGGCCCTAACATCCTCATCGCCAGCCTGGCGCTGGGGGACCTGCTGCTCATCCTCATCGACATTCCCATCAACTTGTACAAGGTAAGGCGATGGTGGCCAGCTCGGATCCGAGAGGTTTTCCTTTCCTTTCCTGTTTATTGCAATACTAATAAGATAAACTTTGTTGTCACTTTTCTTCTTCTTCTGTGAACACACTGGCAACAGGTTAAAAAATGAAGTTCTGATGCCCGCTCTCAAAAATAAGTGTGTGTGTGTGTGTGTGTGTGTGTGTGTATGTATGTATGTGTATATGTGTGTATGTGTATATATGTGTGCATATCTATATCTATCTATCTATCTATCTATCTATCTATCTATCTATCTATCTAT